TGGGGCCTGAACTCTGGGCCTGGGCGCTGTCCCTCAGCTCTTCAGCTCAAGGCTAGCGCTCTACCACTTGAGCCACAGCACCACTTTCGGCTTTTTCTTTTTGCTTACTTGGTGCTGAGGAATCAAACCTAGGGCCTCATGCATGCAAGGCAAGCGCTCTACCACTAAACCACCTTCCCAGCCCCCCGACAACATTTTGAAGGCATATGGATCCCTGATTGCTTTCTGCAAGCAGGAGAAGACCCAGAGGGATAATTCATAGAAAAGTGCCAGTTGTTGATTCTTTTGGTCATAGCTCCAATAAATGATGGCACTCAGAAAAGATAGACTCTGATTTTTCTTCAATCAATTAATAAACAGATGTTTGATTTTTGCATGGGCAATGAGAAACTCATTTAGTAAGTCTTAACGCAGTTGTAATTACTCCTGTGAATCAAGATTTAGAAAATGGTATTTGGTTAAAAGCAGTAAAAGAGAAGCGAGTTACTCTCCATCAATGGTCTTTCTTTAAACATTCTAGACAACAAACATGGGGAACACCTGCTAGAGAGTTGTGCATTCTGATTAAATGTCAGCAAATGGCTTTATGTGGAATTCTAGCCAATCTGGAATGTCTTTTCTAAAAAGCATCTCACATGCACACACACACACACACACACACACACACACATATAACGGGCCACCAATACATTGTCTTTTTAGAGGATGATTCTATTGAGTGGTGAGTATAAGTGATGGAGAGAGTGTGAAAATGTATTGAATACTTAAGGAAACTGCCAGAAAAATGGGCACTTTTAGAAAAAAAAAAGAAGTTTTATCTGCTCAGCAGAAATGTGCGTCAGTGCTTTGAATTGAAACCCTGCATGAATATTTTTCTTCTCAGTGGCCCTTTATTTATTCCACTTAGCAGGTCCCCTGCTGCCCACTCCACTATCATGTGCATGGGACCTATTGTGCTGAGCCACGGTCGTCAATTCTTTCCTCCCAGTCGAATTGGCCGAGGTTGACAATTATTATCCTAACAAGTGCCTGTTCAGTAATGTTCAGTCATTCAGATTTCTCCCTCATTATTTTTCTTCCCTGGAGGCCAGGGATATGAATTGTCCTCAGCTCCTCACCAAGAGCAATTTATCCCGATCTCAGCCCTGATTTTGTCTTTGATTAATTGCAAAGGAGTTTTGAGTCTCACTACTCAGGAGCAGCTGGGGTTCCCGGGAGCCACATGTGGGACCAGAGGCTGCTCTGCATCCCGGGGCTTCTGAACTTTGCTGATGGGAGAGGATCATTGGCAATCCGAAATAGAAAGGTGAAGTCTGTAGAAGCATGGTGTTCTGAATAATCTTCAAGAATGATCACAGCCTATTAGACAAAAAAAAAATCAAAAACAAACAAACACAAAACTTCCTGGAAACGATCACCTTACTTGAATGGTGGAAATGATCATAAAACATGTTGGAATGTTCTTGTACTGCGGGAGGATGGGAGAATGGAGAGTTTCACATACAGAGCTCTTACCTCAGGATTTTATCCACCCTGCTGGCACCAGATGAAGTTGAAGTTTCAGGAAAGAAGGGAGTGTGCAAGACTTCTACCAGGTTTCCAATGGAAGAAGCTATTCTGGAGGCTATGGACAACTTAGGACTTTCCTTCCTGTGTCCTTTATTGTTACACTACCAGAAGACTTCTATACTGTATGCTATTGTATTATATTATGTTATTATAATATTTGTTATATCATGTAATATCCTTTTTTCTCCTCCATTCTTCACCACACAGCTAGACCATTTATAACAAGCTACCTCAAAGAACAGTTCACATATATCACCTTTTTTTTTCTTACCAAGAGAACCAGGTCTTCCTCCTCCTCCTCCTCCTTCTTTGCTTCCTCCTCTACTTCTCCTCCTATTCATCTTTTAACTTTGGTGTGAATTTGTTGAGCTTAGAATAAACTAAAAGCCAAAGGTTGAGAGCATGACTCAAAATGTTTTTCGGATAGTGTTTCTAGCTAACTTTACCTGTGCTGTGTTCTCCTTTTTTGTACTATATATTCGGTGAAAGCACATTAAATTGTCATTTTGGTAAAAAAAAAAAA